TAAACATACATGAGCTGACCTAAAACATAAGTTTAAAGAGCAATATATGCCATTTCATGAGTACTAGGACCAACTGCATGCATAATTGAAGCATTATAAGCAGGGTGATTACGATGGATGTGAATATTGTAATAGATTGATGAGTCTTATAATATAAAATCATTCACTCGGAGATTATTTCGTTACTACCTTTTTTTCGAATGAACTAATAAAAAATTAACCAAAAATAGTTTTTTTTTTTACCAAAATTAGTATTTAAATATTTGTAAAAAAGAAATCATAATCCTCTCCCACAAGCATAGTATAAATTTGACTAGAAGTGAAGCTCAACATCAATATTAGTTAATAGATCAACAAAGGCATGAGATATTGATTAACCTGCAAAACTAAATAAAGAAATTCAAGCAAAACAAGATAAAATTAGCTTAGATCTGAAAATAGACATGATTTGAGCTTGAAATTAAATGTGTCTATTTTGAACGTAAATCTCAAATAGAAAATAAAATTGAGATTGAGATTGAACATGTTATCATAATATGAACCTAAACTGCAATTAGAACAAGAATTTGATATTGAATAGGAACATAAAAACTAATAAAACTCCTAAGTCAAAACCTGAACTTCTAGTGAAAATTGAATCAACACCCAATTATAAATCTTAGCTTCCAATATAATTAAATTCATTGTTGATTATGAACTTGAAACAACCAACTTGAAATTGATAAATCAATCTACAATTCTAATAATTTAACTCATAATAAAGTTCTTAATGAAGTAATTCCAAAAATCAAACTGAAATTATTTTTTTGTTTCTGATTCTTGATCCTTTGATTTCAAAACTTAATTGTATTGATTTAAACAATTTGTTAATGATATTTGCATAAAAGATATATGATGATTAAAACTCCATTTTTTTAGGTGAATTTAACAGTGCATAAATCATCTTCATTAATAATTAATTTATTTGGGTTAGCTTTCTTTAAAGAGTTTATCTATACATTAGGTATATCATATTTAGGTAGATTTTGTTTTTTCAATTTTCTATATGATCGCATCTTCTAGGAGATAGATATAAATCAATATTAATATAAATTAGGATGCATATTGGCATTTATTTGTGTTTTTACATTAGTTGCTTCATTTGTAATGATTTGCATGAATTGTCTTATTTAATTAACGGGATTAGCTGAAAATCAACTATTGATCATGATAATTATAAATATATTATTGTTGTGAATAGAAGAAATAAGAAACTTAAACTAGATAAAAAGGTATGGTAGTATGTCATAATTAGTAAAGGTGAAGCCATAAACTCATATAGGGTATTGAGACAAAAACTTAAAAATTATGGGAGTTGTGGCATTATTTCATAATTTAATATAAATAATTTGAAACCTTTCACCAATATTAAGGATTATTTCTTAATAACATCTACTCTTTGCAAATTCACATCCAACACCTTACCAAGAAGTTCTATAACTTTCGCTCTAGAAGAAATCTTATAGAAAGAGATTGCATCTAGTGTTGATGATAGATATCAAAAGTTTTCTCTACTTTGAATGTCAAACTTATTAATGATTTATGGATTATTTTTCAAAAAGCACAACAAGTTTGCCT